ACCCGCCGCGAGCCTCAACACTCATCGGACCACATACATCTGTATGTATTATTTCCAATAACTTAGTGGCTCGCTCCATTGTTCCGAAGAACAGAGTCTTAATTATTTTACCCATGAGGCATGGTTCGCAAACACCAAGTGATTCATAATCAAGTGATTCCAAAAGCCCATCAGCATGGAGTTTCTTCATGCGCTTTACCCCAATATGACCTAAACGGCAGTGCCACAAATAAGTTGCACTATCATTATTAACTTTGTATCTTTTGGCTTCAATATTATGAATATGTGTATCACTACGATCGAGATCCAACAAGAATAGACCACTTAACAAGGATGCATGACCATAAAAGATATTAATCATATAAATAAAACAATCATTATTCTCTGATTTAAATGAATAATCATCTCGCATCAAACAAGATCCAGATATAATGTTCATGCTCAACGCTGGCACCAAATAGAAGTCTTAAACAAAATAGTCTCACACACATATATTATTTCATCTCACACAAAAGACCTATAGTCGAACTTCAACAAGTTGTCTCAAAAGCCTTCAACAAAAGTCTCACACATACTTCGGAATGACGCATCATAATCACATGCAAATTGGAAACCGGTTAAACAGTAACGCAAGTTCTTACGGAATAACACATGTAACTCTCTATCTTCTTTCAATGAATGAAGTTGCATCTCTAAGCCATATTCCTACATAACAAAATATAAACAACTTGTGAGAGAAAAAGATGGTAAAAGCAGACAACTAAAATGTAAAACTTACTTTTTATTCAGTTTGCATGTTTGCCGTCTATGACCTGGATTGCGACATAGGCCGCACAAAGGACCACTTTTCTTCTCGGCAAAAGATTTTGGTCTACCATTTTTTGTAATTTCTGGATCATTTTTTGACCACCCTATCTTGCTCTGGTTAGGTGTACACTTTGTTGAAACTTTCACAAGATCACGTATAACATTGGCACCTCGTTCAGGCTCACGTGCATCCTCATGAACATACCTTCTACGCCCAACCGCTTCATCATCACGGACCTTTTTGTTAGATATTATATTCTGTAGACACTGCATCAACTCATCAAACACGAATGGATCATTTTCCACAACATGGAAAGCTTCTGCACTTGTTATGCTGAGTTGATTATACCGAGCTCGCTCCTCTATTCCTGACCAATCCCAGCCAAACATATCACTCTTGCGCTGTGCAGGCAGCCCACGTCTCTCATTTTTTGATAACCTCTTTAGGATACAACACTTAGGAATTTCAGATAATTTCAGATGATTCAGTACATATAGAATGTGTTTGCAAGGCACCCCTTTTCAAACCATCCATTGACAACTGCATGCTATCGTTTCCTCCGAGTTTCTTGGTCGATACTGAACACTAAACTGGAAGTTGCGGTTATTCTTCCATGTCAAGATAAAGGTGTGGCAGTCAACTCCCAGCAGCGTCTCAAAAATCTCCAGCTCTCCCATCTTCTTCAGATCTTGTTGAAGAATATAGAAATTGGCATGAGTGAATACAATGGCAGCATGCTTCTCAATGTCCTTATACTCGGTAACTGATGGTGGTAATGTTTGTGAAGAATTGCAGTCGTCTCGCACCTCGTTCTCACGGAGTCGAACTATGCAGTTCTCATAGTGCACTACTAAATCAACTATGGTCATACCGTAGTCGAGGTGAAGATGAAGACAAGAGTTCATGCTTTCACTCCTCTAATTACGACGCATACCAAGGAAAAATCCATCCGAAAGAAATGAAGCTGCCCAAAGACTCCTCTTCTTATACATCCTATTCAGCCAATCTTTTGTTTTGCCCGTCTTCCATTTACCGACAAAAGCGAGCCATCTCTCCCTAAAGTTAGCAGGAGAGGTGGAGTAGTACAACAGTGACCTGAACTCATTCAGTGACTTATAACTAAGGTGCTTATGCATATTTTTCTGGACATGCCAAGAACAAAGACGATGAAACACATCTGGAAGGACATTCCGAATCGCTCGGATCATTGCAGCGTCTCCGTCTGTGATGACTGACTTTGGCTTCTTTTGACAATTTGCTTTCATAAATGTCTGGAGCAACCACACGTATGTACCTTCAGTCTCGTCAGACACAATGGCGCAACCAAACACGGTGGTGCAACGGTGATTATTAACACCGACAAAGGGGACGAACGACATACCATATCTGTTCATCTTGTATGTGTTGTCAAACACGATCACATCTCTGTATAGCTGATAGTCCCGCTGTGACTATGCATCGCACCAGAACATGCTCTTCAACTGCCCTTCCTTATCAAGAACGTACTCAAAGAAGAAGTTTGGGTCCTTCGCCTTTCTACTCCTCATAATGCCAATCGCCGTGTCAATATCACCCTTTGCAATCATTTTTATTTTCTCTCTGCAGCACAGGTTGTAAACATCTCGCCTCACAAGGCCTCACTTATCGTACAAACCATACCTGTTGATGAAGTTATCGAGGATGATGTGCTTTCTGATCCCAGATCCTTCCATCGCTAAGATCTCAACTCTCTGGAAATCTTGTATCTGTCTATGTGACCGCAGGAATGCGACCTCATCCGTTTGATGACTTTGAGTTTGCGCGTCACCTCGACAACCTTTAAAATATTTTAAAGCGTGCTTCATACATTTTGAAGACTACGAATGTAGCGAGTCTTCTATAGTTGCTCTAAGGTTAGACGAAAGAGGAGTGGATGATTGAATCCTACGGCTTTTCTAAGTACAGATAGAAACATGCATAATTAGTAAGTGCATCCGCTGGATCAATAAATGTAGTTTTTTTAAAGGATCATATCTATTATCTATATCTATACCTACGAATAAAGCAATTTGTGTTTCTCCGATTTTTTTCATCCGTTAACCATCGAAAACATTTTTTTCTATTTGATTATTTTTTTGAGGGAAAATTTTGTCCAGAGATTCATACTTGGGCCACACACACTATGGCCCAGAAAAGCCAGCCCACTTATTTTTCTGCCCACACAGCTTGGAAAACCTTATTTGTCGCGCGCAGCGGCAAATAGTCAGATCTTCTCAGAGGACGCCCAACAGTAGGCCGACCCGCATTCGTTTCTTTGTGTGTCCTGTTTCTTTTTTTCTTTCTCTTTTTATTTTATTTTTATTTTTTACCTTTTCCATCCAACTTTATTTTTCTTTTTTCCATTTTCATAAATTCGGAATTTACACAAAACTTTCAGAATTACTTTTTTTGACAAAAGTTTAGTCCAAAAAGTTGTTCCCGCACTTTAAATTTTTGTTCTCATTCCAAAATTTGCTCCAAATTCATAAAATGTGCCCATTTAAAAAAATGTGTGTGTTTTCCAAAGTTGTTCAAGATTTTCTAAACTAAATTGCATTTTGAAAAACGTTCCAAATTCAAAACATATTCTTGTTGCGATGAACTATTTACAAATTCAAATTAATTTTTGTGTTTACAAAAACCTATTTTATAGAATGGTTCTGAATGTTCAAAACATGTTTCCGTTTACAAAAAATGTTAAAAAATGCAAAAAATATTCATGTTTTTATAAAAGCTCATGTTTTTAGAAAAAATGGTTGTGAATTTCAAATAATCTTCCTGTTTCAAATTTTGTTTGTCTTTTTAAAAAACTAAAAAGAATTTGGAAAAAAGTGTTATTCTTTTTCAAAATTATTTGGAACTTCAAAAATTGTTCATTTTTCCAAGAATATTTGGCCATTACTAATTATTAAGATGAATTTTGAAAAGAAAAAAATACAAATGTCTTGAATATAACATTGTAGTATGTTTTTAAACATTCACACTGGCTATTGGTTAGCAGGAACTGTTTGTTCAAGTGGCTAACGGTACGTGGTCGAGTTTTTGAGGTCGTAAGTTTGGTCCTTCAACTCGTCTTTTTTTTAGAATTTTACTCATGCCTTACAAACAAAGGTCGTTTTGTGCCTGCCAGTGGGCTGGCCGAGACACAAATTGTTGTGCATCTCATGCACTATTTGACGATAAAAGAGAATATTTCGGTTGGCTATAACTGAAATAAAATGTGGCATGTGGCAATAAAAGAGAATATGTTGGTTTAGCTTTAATTTTTAAAAACTATGGGCATGTGAGCTCTAAAATAATCAAAGAGAATAAATCATGATAAAGAAGGGATTGACTGGTTATGCACTGATTATGCTAATTTAGAAAGGGTTTATTTGCTGAAACAATTAGTAATCCATCTGGTTACGTTGACAATAGGAGAGAGTGGTCAAGCAACCGTGCCTCGAAGGTTGCCGCACAACCACGAAACGAGGAGGTAGCCACAAGCCCGACCCAGAGGCGGACCTAGAGGAGAAAAGACACGAGTTGGGTGGTCGCCGCAACGCCGACCAACCCGAGCACCATCAAGATCTCACTCATGACCCGCGAGAAGACCCCAGCTCCTCGCTCTGTCGCCCCACTACCATGGAGACCGTTTTTGATGGACACATCAATTATCTTCCCAATTGCTTCTCGTAAAAATATCTTTCCCGCTGCGACAGACGGGCATACGTGCTAGTAAAGATTCACCGAAAGTACAAAGCGCCTCAAACATAATAAAAGTTTGATTGAGGTAGTTGATGACATGTTTCCCGCCCTTCCGACAAACTGGTCAAGACGTACTGGCATTTTTCTTCTCGAAGGATTCAAACTCTGAAGTAGTTAAATAATTTGAAATTTGAAATGACGATGTTTCATCAGTTCCAAAAAAAAGAGGCACGGACTGCGCAAAACCCAGAGCCCAGTGCCGTCCCGACCCGGCCCATGCCCAACTCGACCTCGCTCGCCTTCGCTCGCTCCTTCTCCGACCCGTCTTTCTTCTTCTTCGTCTACAAGAAAAAAGACGGAAAAGGACTCAAATTCCTTCTCTTATTTACCACCCCATCCGAGAAAAGAGGGAAGAAAAATCCTCCGCCGCTAAACCCTAACTAGCTCGAACCCCGGCGAGTTCAGCGAGAGGTCGGGATCCGCGGAGATGCCTTCGGCTTCGTCGGCGGTGGGGAGGCTGCAGGCGGCCGCGCAGGACGCCGCCAACTCCTCCTCCTCCTCCGCGCGCTCCGCCACCGCCGCCTTCTCCGACCAGCTCCTCGTGCCCAGGGAGGCAGGGTATGTCCGAGCTCCTCTGATTCCCCGTCCGCCTCCTCCCCTGATTCGAGATTCGATTGAGGCGCCCTGTTTCGGCTCGCTCGCCCGGTAGATTGCTTCGATTTGGGGGCGGATTTGGCGGTATGCTGCCAGTAGTTTGGGTGTATCAAGCGTATTGTACTGTGCACTGTAGTAGTAGTAGCTGACGCACATGTGGGAAATCCCTTGCAACACCTGCACCGCATGTTTTATCTGTGGCTCCTATCATCAAAGCTGAAAAAGCTTGACTAAACGAGTAAAATTGATTTGATCCGCAATAAATATTTGGCTGGGGAAAGCTTCAGTTATGTGTATGGTAGGGCAACCCAATTATTCGACTTCTGTTTACTGTTATATGCCAGTATTTTGGGTGTCTATACGACATCTCTTGTTCCATATGGTGCTATATGTAGCTTTCTGTACCTTATAACCGATGCCAAACCGTTAACCTGAGAACAAGAATTAGGCTGGGCAATGTACTCTGTATGTTGTACATGTATTTGTGGAACTTCTAAGGGCGCGCTTGGAATTGATCTATTTAGATACGGAGGTGTCTCACTTACACCCGTATCTTACCGTCCGCAGAGCAATTTACGTCTGGAATGAAACGACAGGCGGAGACGTGTATTATTTACAACTGTATCTAAAAGAAAAACGGGAATCCAAACAGGGCCTAAACAGCAGATATTCGGTTGCCAGTGTACATACTTAGCCACGTTGATTTAGGAGGTCGCAACTCTGCCTCACTATGCAGTTGCTGAATTTTCCATATCCCACTTCTACAAATGTACCCTCTGACTTCGCCTGTGCCTCTTCTTCTGCCTTACCCTCCCATGCTCATCCTCCTGCTTTGTGCCGTGCTGCCACTGTCGTGCTGCACCAACTGACGTTGCCACCCTTGAGCAGTGGCTGCAGGGGATTGAACTACACTGATCCCTATGTTAAATTAGCCCCCTAATCTGAAGAAACCTGACCCAGTCGGGTTTTTTTATCCTAATTGAAATTTTGATATATATGGCTCCAGTTTATTTATTTTTGGTCATTAGTTGATTGAAAGCTGCTTGATACTTGTAGCGGAAAGTTTGGTTTCTGTTTCATTCATTTATAGAAGTTCTAGGATTTGTCTGAAGTTCTATCAGAACCTCCAAGTTTAAAGACTGGAAAATCAATCCAGTAGATAGCATGCTTTGAAATTTTGTGACATGCAACTGAATGCTGGGGATGGAACAAAGACAATGTGGAGGGTTGGGGTCTGCATCTGCCAACCAAAGCTGCAGTCATCTACCAAATAGACTCTGTGCCTATATAGTGAAATCTGTATGGCACATGCATGGCATCTACTCTCTAGTCTTTGTTTCTAGATTTAGGCTGCAGCAGTAACATTTTTGGTGATGTAAATGTGCACATGTTGTACTGTAAATCTGTAATCCCTGACTAAAGTTATGTGCCTTGCAAGTTTGCAACTGACGTGTGATCCTTTGGTATTGCAGCCGGATGGTGTCTCTGTCGGCTTGCGCAAAGTTCGGCGCTGTCAGCTTTGTGGTTGGCGTCATGGTTGGCTTCACCCTGAATAAAAGGCTGCGCCGGTGGGCTGCCAAGCTGCTCAAGAGAATTAAGGACGATAACTAGCAAAGCTAGTGCATTTAATCTTGAAAGAAATTTTGTTGGCAAGTGTGCTCTAGTTACCTCTGTAGTAACCCCAAGTTGAACCTCATTGACTGCTTGGATCAACTGTGATGGATACAACATAGTCGTTTGTAAGCTGTATTGCAAAATTCTCTTCTGGGGATCTTTATTACTGGTGCAGATTCTGCAGTACATCTCTCGTTGACCTGGTGCCGTTGTGTTGAGACTGGCTTTCATTGCTGGTTGATGAAAATGATGAGCTAATGTTGTTTGGTTAAATAATATCCTGACAATTGAATTAATAATGGAAGTAGCTACTGTTGTTTGTGTATCCAATTCATTCCAACTGAGGGCTTTGCTGTTGCTTGGCTTTCCATTATATATATGCTGCTGCCGGCTTAGGTAAGGCATCAGGCTGAATCATCAAGAAAGAAAAAGTGAGCCACCTTGAGTGCTTCTGCTTTTGCCTTTTGCTGCAATGGTGGGTGGGAAGGAATAATTAGTGGGTTAAACAAATTAATAATCATCATTAGCCTTCTTTGCCTATTTTCTCTTCCAGCCAGCACCAAAGCCTGTCTTATGCTACTAATTCTTGCTTCGGACCAAAGTGATTCCCCGCTGAGTTCGCCTCCTTGAGACTGCTTTTCACCGATTTCCTGAAGATATTGTTCTCTCTGTTCTTCCTCTTCTCCACACGCAGAGGAAAAGTTTGTCTTGATCCTCTCAGGTTCGTCGTTCCTTCCCCGTCGGTCCGCTGGTCACCACTGATTGAAGTGATCCTGTGGACTTACCGGCCCGTGTTCAGGTATATATTTGATCTCAGTATCCTTAACTTCTTGATCTGTATCGCGGTGGGAGGCACTCCTTCTGTTCACTAATTGATACATAATCTTGTATTACCTATATAATACTGCAGGTGTAGAAGCAGGTTTTCTGGTGGTGATTGAACGGTAATCTTCTATGAGATCGATTGATCATCATAGCAAACTGATTCTTCAAGATTTATGATCACTATTGGTTCTTACTATTGACGGGTTTTCCTTGACCGGAGAGTGGTTTGTAAGGTAAAGACTTGCAATCAACTTAACTTTCATTAGTCCAGTCGAATAAACTAGTTATCAAGATTTCTAGGCTAGCACTGGGGCTATTCATCAGATGAATCAGAAAAGCAAAAAAGCCGCTGGATGATTAATCTAGGTGTTGTAACAGATAGAAATATACTTCATCCGGTCCTTTTTACTCCGCATATAGTTGACGCAACATTTTCTTTGGTTCCGATTGATATGTAGACTGCAGACTGCTATGCAGCTGCCATTGGATGGCGCCCTTAACTAGGCAAGACAAACTAATAAATATTTTTGTATGAAAAACTGAAACACATGTAAATTTGCGAGCACAAAAGCTTGAACTTAGTCCTTGATACATGGCACTACTCAAGGTGCTGAATCTATATTTATGTTGCATACATAGCTTTCATTAGGCAACAAAAAAAAAGTAACCAAGTAGCTTCTAGTGTATCTGTAGAGCCTTGTCTAATTTTGGAAAGCATTCATTTTCAGCTTCCAATTTCTGCTATTCTCAGAACAAGTCACCGTGGTGGTTTGGGTGGATCTCCCTTGCCGAGTTTGTCTGATCGATGGCAGCCATACTTGAATCGTTGCTTGGATCATGTGCCAGTAAGTTGCAGAATATCATTACAGATGAGGCCATACTAATCCTCGGGGTGGAAGAAGATCTCAGAGAAGTCCTGCGACGAGTAGAACTGATAAATGTTGCATATATGATGCTGAGAAAAGGAGGACAAAAGAGCTAACAGTAAACAATTGGCTTGGCCAACTGAGAGATGTTATATATGATGTTGATGAAATCCTAGATGTGGCTAGATGTAAAGAAAGCAAGATACTTCCTGATCATCAAGCAAATCAGCTGCATGTGCAGGCTTCTCAGTTTCCTCTTGCTTTTGTAACATCTGGTCACGTCATGATGTTGCTGTTCGGATTAGAAGCCTCAACATAAAGATAGAAAACATTTCAAAGGACAAGATATTCTTAACGTTCAACAATAGTACACAACCTGCTGGAAATGGTCCAACATCCAAACTGATAAGAAGTTCCAACCTCGTTGAGCCCAACCTTGTGGGAAAGGAGATCATACGTTCTAGCAGGAGGTTGGTGGACTTAGTTCATTCACACAAGGACAATAAGTCTTACAAGCTTGCTATTGTTGGAACCGGGGGAGTTGGTAAGACAACACTAGCTCAAAAGATATACAATGACAACAAAATAAAAGGAAGCTTTAAGATACATGCATGGATTTGTGTGTCGCAAGATTACAATCAAGTTACTCTTCTGAAAGAGGTTCTCCGTAATATTGGTGTGCATCATCAGCAAGGTGAAACCATAGCCGAGCTGCAGAGAAAGCTTGCAGAAGCAATCAAGGACAAGAGTTTCTTTCTTGTTCCAGATGATGTGTGGCAGTCAAATGTTTGGACAGATTTAATAAGAATTCCAGTAAACGAAACAGCTGTTGGAGTAATATTGGTAACTACAAGAGATGATCAAATTGCAATGACAATAGGTGTGCAGCATATCCATCGAGTTGATCTCATGTCACTAGAGGTGGGATGGGAGCTACTTTGGAAGAGCATGAATATTGATGAAGAGAAAGAAGTGCAAAATCTAAAAAACATCGGGATTGAGATTATTCATAAATGCGGCTGCCTCCCTCTTGTAATCAAGGTTACCGCTAGTGTTTTGGCAAGCAGAGGTCGTACGGAGAATGAGTGGAAAAGGTTTTTGGGCAGATATGCTGGATCCCAGAGCATGCTTTCTGATGAAATAGAAAGAGCTATACGTCTAAGCTACGACGAGTTACCGCATCGTCTGAAGCAGTGTTTCCTTTATTGTGCTTTGCATATTGAAGATTCTCTCATTCGGCGTGGAGAAATTGGCCGGTTATGGATTGCTGAAGGGTTCATCATGGAGCAGCAAGGCCAATCACTAGAAGACATAGCAGAAGAGTACTTCTACGAGCTAATCCATCGAAACCTCCTCCAACCAGATAACAAATATTTTGATCAGGAGAGATGTAGAATGCATGACCTCCTGAGACAGTTTGCTTTAAATATATCAAGAGAAGAATGTTTTGTTGGAGACGTTGAAACATTAAGAGGTGAAAATATGTCAAAGCTGCGACGTGTTACGGCTGTCACTAAGAAGGATATATTGGTGTTACCTAGAGTCGATAAGGTGGTAGTTAAGGTGAGGACTTTCCTAAGTGTTCATGGTGCACAGAGAATGGAGGATGCATTGTTCAAGAGATTTCTGCTTCTTCGTGTTCTGGTGCTGAATTACTCACTTGTACAAAGTGTTCCAGATTGTATAGGAAAATTGATCCATCTATGTCTACTTGATCTGAATTATACTGGCATATCTTGTCTTCCAGAATCCATTGGCTCCCTAAGAAACCTTCAAGTATTGAGCTTGGATTATTGTGGTTCTCTGCATAGTCTTCCTTCAACAATGACCCAGTTGTGCAGTTTAAGATGTCTTTCTCTTGATGGTACAAAAATAGATCAGATTCCAAAAGGGATAGCAAAACTGAAGTTCCTCAATACTTTACAAGGATTCCCTGTAGGTGATGGAAGTGATAATGTTAATGTACAAGATGGATGCAAGTTGGAAGACTTGTCTTATGTGTCGCAGATGAGGGATCTTGGCCTTGTTAAATTGGAAACAGCAGCTCATTGTGCTACAAATGCAGTGCTGACAGACAAAATGCATCTAAAAAACCTAAGTCTAAGGTGGACTGAACGTGGAGATGGGCAATATTCAGAAGAAGACATTAGCAATGCTGAGCGGGTCTTGGAGCAGCTAGTACCTCCAATTAACTTGGAACACCTGTGGATTTTAATTTCTTTGGCCAGCGGTATCCCACCTGGTTTGGTACCACCTGTTTGCCTTCACTGGAGCATTTGGGCCTCGGGAATGTAATATCCTGTGAGGATATTCCATTGATTGGGCAGCTACCCAACTTGAAATATCTGAGAATCGATGGAGCATATGCAGTTACCAAGGTTGGACCTGAATTTATTGGCTGTAGGAAGGGCGATCCTTTCAATGAGTTAGTTTCTTTTCCTAAACTTGAATGTTTGATCCTCAAGGATATGCCGAACTGGGAGGAGTGGTCTTTTTTTGAGGATCCGGAAGTGGATGCCCATTCTGCAATGTTGCAACTGCTGCCCCGTTTAGTGCTTTTGAAACTCGATGGTTGCCCGAAGCTGAGGGCTCTCCCGCGGCAGCTTGGAGAGGTCGCTGCCAGCTTGAAGGAGCTTAGATTAATTGGAACAAACAACTTGAAGGCCCTGGAGGACTTCCCACTGCTCTCGGTTCTCCTTATACAGAATTGTACAAGCCTGGAGTTGATTTCCAACCTCCCTCGAGTGACAGACATGTGTGCACATGGCTGTCCAAACTTAAGCCATGTAGAGGGGTTGGGTAGTTTGCAGCAGCTGGGGCTGGGCGTGGATATGCAAGAGATCTCTTCCCACTGGCTGCCTCAGCTTCGAAAACAGAACCAGCGAGTTCATGGCGAAGACCTGGATGTCTACGCGCTGTCTACCAGTTAGATGGCAATGAAAGCACAAGGTATGAACACCGCATATATACTGGTTGGACATTTTGTTTTGTGTCTTTAATTCTCTGGACCGTAATTTTATGCCTCATTGGATACACAAATAGCAAGCTTCGTATGGCATTATTCGATGCACCAGAAATGCTTAAATTTGTTTTTTCCTTGTACACCTTTGAAAAGAGCTTTAGTACATGTCCATGGAAGCAGATTGCAGGCATATACAAGCTATCAGGTGTTGTGTGTTGCTCTAAGTTGCTTATGTGTTCCGTAGTATATGCTCATCAAAACTACTACGGTCTGTTTCCTAATTCATATGCTGGACTGTTGGTGCAGTTTACTTCAGCGGGCAAAGCATGAGACATGCTAAGTTGAGGAAGCCTGTCAATACTGAAGACGCAAAGTTTCTTCCTATTTTTCTGTGGCAGGTGCCCTTCAAATACTGTATTGCATTTCATTTTGCTTATTTCTAAGTTCGGCCGGAGGCCTTTGCTGTACTAAACCTCCTGTGCGGTATGCTTTCAGTTTCCGACGAGTTCTGTTTTATTTTGTTCCTGAAGTTGAGGCCAGAGGCCTTTGATGTACTGAACCTGAGAGACACAGTTTGGTTCTTTCAATGTTACGGATGAACTTTATTTTTGCACGATTGTATGCTTCGGATGGAAGTGATGCATTTCGTTTTATTGTGTTGCTGAGCTTGGGCCTGAGGCTTTGCTACAGTGAACATGTGTAACCTGTGTGTATGGCTGAACTTGTGTCTGTGTGACCTGGTGAAGGAAGAGCAATTTGTTTCTGTAATCCTGCGTTCCGTCGTATGGCGAAACTGGTTTATCAGAAGGACTGTCTGACTGAAATCAGGACCAAAAATAATATTGTACATTTTTTTTCCTGGTTGTTGCCATACTGACATAGCTGCAGAGTGCAGACTGAACACAGCGACGAGACGTGCGCAATGCGGTGGAGGTGGATGCTGCGGATGTGCCGGAGCTCTGGACTTGGGCGAAGGGCGGAAGGCGAAGATGAAACTGCATTTTGAAGCAGATATCTGAAGTATGAAGGACAAGGTCTGTTTCTCTGCAAAAGGAGGTGAAGAAGAATAAGGAAAACACACAAACTACCGCATGCACCATCTGCCCTAGCAAGCAATGCTCTTTGGGACTATCCTTACTGAACTTATATACTGCAATTTAGGTATTTTTATTTTTTCTCACGACTCTCTCCTTGGGTCGTAGGGCGGAGCTCGGAAGGCGGTGGCGGAGGAGTGGCCCAAATATTCGTTCTCAGGGCTCTCGTTTTTATTTATTTTTTTATCATGTTCGTTCTTAAAAATATTCAGAATTCAAAAAACATTTCCATTTTAAAAAAACTGTTTGTGTTTTCAAAGAATGTCCCGAAGCTTTGGAGATTTCTTTTGTTGGACCTTGACCCAAATTTCATGTGTTTTGACAATTCTTCCTGAAATGCTAAAAAAATGTTCCCGGAACTTTAGTAAGTGTTTGCATTTCCAAAAAAAGTTCCTGGATTAAACTGTTCGTTCTTAAAATATTCATAATCAAAAAATGTTACCATTTTATTTCAAGTGTTCGTGTTTTCAAAGAATGGGGGCCTGTTTAGGGCCTGCTGGAGCGAGTGGTGTCGGCCCCAGAAACTGTTGTTGTTTACAGGGCTGGGCCTGCATGCTGCATCTCCTCGTTTTCTTTCCCCATCGCCGGAACGGAGCCGCCGCCGCCGTTCCCCTACCCGGCCGTCGTCGTCGTCGTCCTCCGACTGAAATCCCTCCCCTCCATACAATCTTCCAGCGATTCCTCTCGGTTGCTTCCGCTATCCCCAGTCACTCCTCTGCGCCGCCCTCGCCCCCACCAATTAATGGCTTCGTCCGCGCTCGCCGCAGCCAACTGCTTCGCGGCCCAGGGCGCCACCTGCACGCCGACTGGCATGCAAGATCTTCGGCGACCACGATGCTTCGGTCTCTCCTCCTCCTGCTGCTGCTGCTTCTGCCTCGGCCCAAGGTGTGTCGGTCCATCAGAGTAACAGGCCGGTTGGGTTAGATTGCACTCATTTCTCAGTCCTTTTCTTCTTCTAGTGTGAAAATGGAAGTGTCCACCGGCATGTCCTTAAGCAGAAGAATCACCATTTGTTTTTATCCTAGTGTTTCAGGAAAACTAGTATAGTAGTAGCTAGTATCGCTTCTCTCACTTGAGAAATAGGTCACAACGCAATTAGCGAGCCCACAATTTTATCACAATATATTTCCCCATCAAGTATGAACTTTTGATACAACGCGTAGATACATTGAGTACCTTCACAAGAGGACTTGTGCACTTGTGTCTACATACTTCTGTAGTGCAGTGAGGTATGCTAGTAGCTTAAGATAGCATGCATTGGGCATGGGCAGCTTTAATTTATTTGTAGGTATCCGTGAAAACAAAACACTTTGCAGGAGGTTTCACATGTCCCTGTGGAATCTCGAGGAGTCGAGGTAAAATAATACTACACCTGTAGATTAGACCGACAAAGCTAATTAATCTTATCATTAGTACAGGTTAGCGTTGCTTTACTTAATTTATTCATTGGCACTGACGGAGTGCTAGTTAATTAAACAGTGATGAACTCTTGGCGGCCCCCCGTGTCGTGCCCCCCGCGTCGCCCTCCCCCCCTCCCCGCGAGTCCCCACCCCCCTTCCCCCTCGCCGCTGCCGCCGGCGGGCGCGGCCGGGCGTTGCCCGCGCGGCGCCCCACAGTCCGGCGGTGACGGCCCTCCTTC